TAATATTTGCTTCGTACAACAATTTGGCAGTTTGTTGGTACAAAATGATACCAGCCGGAACTACGAATTACATGTGCAAACAATGTTGAGCTCATAAAATTAGGCTTGGATAAAAAGATGTATGTTCTTGAAAATTTGTTACAATGTGTGCGTGAGATATCGATATGGTAGTAAACATGAACACATCACTACACACTACTACGTCAATATCGCACGCATATATATTCACAAATCGTCGATAAAACAGCGAATTTTTGGAGTTTGATCTCGGGTTTAGGATCCCCTTAAGCATTGCTATTAAACATTTTAATATTCTAGCAATCATTTTGATTTTCGCACAAAATTGTTCTTTCCGTGTAGCAATCGCGAGCTCCATACTTCGATGGCCTTCGCTTTCGTCTGACGTCGACAAAATTTTTTTTTTTTAACAGCAACTTCCTTATTTTTGACAACGTTTGTCGCGGCGTCGCGCAGATATTTTTACTTTTTCTGCTTTTCTTTCAGCGGTGTGGTTTATGCGCCTTTCGTGTGCAGGAAGTGCTCGAAGAAGCGCGCGGAACGGAAAGAGATTATCACGGAAATCGTGGAAACCGAGCAGAAGTACGGCAGAGATCTGCAGATCATACTCGAGGAGTTCCACCGGCCGATGCTAAGAGCGGGCCTCCTCACGTCGGAGCAACTGTCGGCGATCTTCCTGAATGTCGAGGAGTTGCTCGAGCACAATGCCGTTTTAGCCGACAAATTAAAGGAGAGCGTGAACCTCGCTCAGGTAGGCAACTCGCGCAAGAGATATTTCGGTTCTCTCGCGAGCGCGAGTATTCGAAGGTATGTACACGTTGCGAGATTGTCTGATTTTCTCGATTTTCGCGTAGGACCACGGGGACGAGGATCTCCTGACGGTGGACGTGGGCAAGATCTTCCTCGAGTCGGAAAGGATGCTCCACGCCTTCGAGAGCTACTGCACGCGTCAAGGGGGCGCCAGTTTGTTACTACAAAATTTGGAGAAGGAGAAGGAGCTTCTTCGCATCTTCCTCAGGGTTTCTCAAATGGAGAACACGGTTTTGCGAAGGATGAACCTGAATTCCTTTTTAATGGTAACGTCACTTAATTCTCTTTGACTTACAAGGAGAAGGCCAGGTCAGTGTATCACGGATCCTGATCCCAATTTCTTTGGTGAAACTAGAGGCAAAATAAAGATATAGTGTCCGAGCGTTTGATTGAATGGGCCTTAGTTTTCAAGTAAGAATTTTCGAAGAATAAATTTTTAAATAATAATATTCAATGTTTAATAATAAACAGCGATATATTTCTTTCATCCAACATCGGTTATAATAATGCTTGGGAAAAAATACAAATTTTTAAATATGTAAAAAAGTCATACATTACAATATCAGTAATAAAAAATAAAAAAATAAAAAATAAAAACACGCATTAAAAAAATTTTTTTTATTTTTTATTACTGATATTGTTATGTACGAATTTTTTACATAAAAGTTTGTATTTTTTCCCAAGTATTATTATAACCGATGTTGAATGAAAGAAATATATCGCTTTTTATTATTAGATATTGAATATTATTATTAAAAAGTTCATTTTTCGAAAATTCTTACTCGAAAACTAAGGTCCATTCAATCAAACGCTTGGGCATTATATCTTTATTTTGCCTTTAGTTTCATAAAAAAATTGAGATAAGAATCCGTGATACACTGATTTGGCCTTCCCCTTGTTAATTCTTTATTCAGAGATAAGGGACATGAATCATACGTTCATAATTTTATGCATTTTTTTTTGTTCAGGTTCCTGTCCAAAGAGTCACGAAGTACCCTCTGCTTTTGGCACGTTTGCTTAAAGCAACACCCTCTGTTCGACCTGACATCCAAGAAGCGAAAAAGAGGCTCAAGCAAGCACAAACGAACATCGAGCTACACTTGGAACACATGAATGCTGTAAGTATATCGCGTTGCACAAATATAATACAAAATTGAAAATAAACATGCGCTTTTATAATTAATAGGAGGCAAAGGATGTTACGTCGACGAAATTGTGGAGGAGAATATCGATTATTCAGAACGGCAGACGGTCCGTCGGCGAGCAGGATATGGTGAATATCAAGTTGAGAAAGGTATGTTATTTAAATTGCTCTATTTTATACTAAAAAGTGTTAATTGTTCAATTCTCTAATCATACTGTTAAAATTTATGCTAGATGGCCGTTGAGATTTTGGAATGGGCACACGAGGAAGCTAGGTTTGTCCTCGAAGGCCGTCTTCTGGTAGCGCAACCGACTGACAATAACTGGAGACGCGGTCGAACTGTCAAACTCGCGCCTGTTACTGCCATGCTTGTCACAAACGGCAAGGTAAATGTATATACGTGTCTTTAAGTGTATATACATGTCTCGCGAAAAACAATTTTATCTGTAAACACATTTCTATTTTTCAGCCGAATGCCGATTATCCCGAATTCAACGACGAGTCGCTCTTTCCAAAGCACATAGGTATCAAGGAAGCTACTCTACTTCTGGTCAAAGAGAAACTTGGACGATATTCTTTACTACGAGTGAGTATATAGTTCATATTGCATTTTATCGTCCCGTAAATTAAACGGATGTTTTTTTTTAATTGATATCATTTCAGGAGCCACTGTACCTCGACAAATGCATAGTATGTTGTGAAACGGATCTCGAAGATTACTTCGAAATACAAGAATTATCCTCTAAAGAAACGTTTATATTTAAGGTAAGATTTATTTAATTTAAGGGTCTATTCTACTTTGCGGCCCGAAAAAGAAGGCGATCTTGGGGAATTTTTTCGGAAAAGTGATCAAGATCACATACTTTATTGTTTTTACATCTTATTTGTTATACTTTTCTCTTTAGTTTATAATTTTTTGAAATCAATTTGTTAACTGTAAGTCTGTGCAAAGTTCCGGTGAAGAAGCCTTTCCGACTTGAACATAGTGCCATGGTGGAATAAGTACTGCAGGTCGCACCAGTCATCTAAACAGTTAAACCAACAATTTTTCTGTTCAAAAAGAATGTCTCTATGGAATAGATTACGATAATTGATCTTGCATGAAAATTAACAAAATGACGGTCATTTGAAAGAAATTTCGATTTTTGGCCTTAAATTTTGCTCTTGTTTTTGCGATAAAAAAAAGTATTATTGATATTGATATAATCGTAGTCTATTCTATAGAGACATTCTTTTTGAATAGGAAAATCGATGGTTTAACTGTTTCAGTTAACTGATGCGCCATGTTAATCGGAAAAGCTTCTTCACCGGAACTTTGCATATAGACTTAAGCCCGTATCAGACTAAAGATTGAGACTGAGATTGAATTGGGAATTGGAATTAACCAATTAGAAGAAAGAAAACCAAATTTAGTTGTTTTGATTGGTTAAATTCCATTCCAATCTCAATTGAAATCTTTAGTCTGATACGGGCTTTACAGTCTGATCTTGATCACACTTCATTGTTTTTACATTTATTTATTTTTTACATTGTTTTTTATTTGTAACTTTTCTGTTTAATTTATAATGTTTTAAAGTCAATTTGTTGACTGTAAAGCCCGTATCAGACATTTCTTTCCTTTTCGAGTCACAAGGTAGAATGGAACCCTTAAATTCAAAGTACAGCTCAGAGATGAATTTTAATTGCGAAGAGTATTATTGATATTGTATTATGAATAAAATGGTAAACTGACTTATTGCAGGCAGAGGACGGCGCGAGAACGAAAAGATGGTGCAGAACGTTACAGGCTCACGCGCAGTCCCTTGGCGCTTGGCGCAGACGTCGTGGGGCCCTTCCTAACATCATGATCTGCGGTGTAGCGAGGAACTAACGACGGCCTGGATGTAATAATAGGTGCACACGTAACAACGCGTTCCATATTAACGCATTCTCAAGCGATTGAAGCTCTTCAACGGCGCCAAGAAGTCTAAGCGATTGCATAAATTCATGTACATGATCTCCAGATGAATTAGCAATGATTTATTACGGAGAGAGAACGCTAGACCAAAGGATTTCCTCGGCTCGTTGACACGCGGCCGTGTCGATGAGCAACGCGAAAGTCTATAGTTCTTACCGAATCCGAGATATAACCGTCTGTGTTCGGTTTGTTACAGTACGTTGCAGAAACTTGAGTTTCCTACGACACTGTAAAAATAAAAGTGCTACATGCACCTCCGAGTGTCGCGCACAATTCCATCCGATTCCTAATGAATAATTTTAAGTACATATATATAATATATATGTCTGCGTATATATATATAGGACTATTTAATATTAAATGATTAAACCCTTCAAAAAAAAAAAAAAGACGAGTAGCTGTGATATTGACCGGTGTATTGGGTATCGTTTTCTTCTCGCAGATCATTTACGGATGTTAAAAGTATTTTATCCGCCGCATTTTCCATCTGCGATTCTCTTCACCAGTATCGCTTCTTGCGAAAATGATATTAATAGAGGTAGATTTTATTAGAATCGAGGTCATAGGGTTCGCAGATTAATAAGCATCGGAGAATTCGCGTGAATCAGCAGCGTCATGGATACAGGGTGCCGTACATACTACATATGTCTCGTATAATCGGCATGCATCGACAATTCGTGAAACTGTCGGAATACACTTATTTTAATTCCTTTATTCCCTCTCTTTCTCTCTGTCTCTCTCTCTTTCTCCAAATAACAGTATTTTTACTACGTCTAACACAAGCAAAATACAAATTGTACATTGTACTATATTTTTATTTAAGAATTAAGCCATACTGTGTATGTATATATAAATGTATATTTACAGGTTTCCCTCACACAGTTTCTAACTGAAATTCAATTGTAACGAATTAATCTGCTGCATTACAACCTGCGATTTAATAAAACTGAGATTTGATGCATTCCTTTTTTTTTGTCAAAGAGTAATAAATCGTCCCCCGTGTCAGACGCTCGTTTCCTCCAACATGTCCGCGCAGTCCTCTACCACGACATTTCTCGTATTTGTCAACGGTAGTAAGTGCCGGGACGTGCGGTACTTGTACAACTGAAGCTCCGGATGTTTCTCCAGCAGATACTTGTAAGCGGTCGCAAGCCTGTCGATATCCGCCACGGTGAGTTGCGTCGGCCTGATCCTCGGATCCAAGTCGGCCAATTTGTACATCAACAAACCCAAATCTTCGCGGCGCTCCAGCGGAAACAGAGTCCTGTGAGGGAAGAAGCGAACTCGAAAATTTTTGATTGCGTTCATTATTACAAAGGGGATAAAACCCGTAAAGTGAGAGAACGAACTTACTCGACGCATCGTATGCTGTACTTCTGCCTGAAACTGAATATGTGCCTCGTTACCATTTCGAAGTATTTAAAATCGTGTTGCGTGCGCGGTGTGACCAACGGCGTGAACGACACCACTCCCACGTCGACGTCTGGTTTTGGAACGAAAGCTTTGCCTGCACATCATGAATTAGAGCGTAAATAAATTTCGTAAGGCAAATAGCGGAATAAAAAATGGCGCTCTGTTTGATTACCGGGTATGATGAAACGAAGTACCGGATACGTCCAGGTTTGCGCCATTACTGACAGCCTGCATCGTTGGGGTCCCATCGGTGGGGCCACCAAACGTTCCGCCACCTCCTTTTGGAACGTCAACGTCATTTTCGTTCGGCCGAACGCCCATGGCCCACGTCGCTCGGCTATCGCGTGCAGCCACTTGATTATAAGATGCGTCGATAGACTGAACGGTAAATTGCCTATGAGAAAGACATCTGGAGGCTTATCGTTCCAATTCAACTTCTTCTCCGGCGGGAACAGACTCTCCATATTCGTTTTCAGGATATCGTCGTATATTACATCCATCTTCCCGTTAATCGCGCCGAACGAGTCCGTCAGCATCTCTAAAATCGGTTTGAACCGCCGATCCTTCTCCACAACCACCAATCGCTCGGGGACCTTTCTCAAGATGGATCGAGTTAACGCACCCGGGCCGGGACCGACCTCCAGCACTTGACCCCCGGCGAGGTTGCCCGCTTTCGTTGCAATTTTGTCGGTTATATTCTGGTCCAGAAGGAAATTTTGGGACAAACGTTTTATGGCACTCAAGTGGTACAACTTCAGTATCTCTCGTATGGTTGGAAGTGGTGGTAATCGTGGAGCAGACATCTTGAAACGTTAATCTTGTACAGACACACACTTGTGTGAAACAGAGGATTTACAAAGGTATGATATTGGAAAGGAAAAAATATCACTCTCTAAGCTATATATCCTATTATATAAGCGAAAGAAATATAAACTCTTTAACACGATAAGCCAAAAATTTCTTTGTTCACATGTCGAACAAAGTGACCTCTTATGTAATCTTCTTAATCGTCTTTTCTGGCACCTCAAAGTCGTCTAAGAATTTCTCCTGTTTAACTGAATATATTGTGTAAGCGTAAATTCCAATGACACCGAGGCCTAGAGTGATGGCCGTGCGGTTATTAGCTTTACGATATTTCTGCACTACTTTCACTCTCTGCAAGTTCTGCTCTTCCATACGTTTCATATAAACTTTATCTGTAGACTTGATCCTTCCCGCGTCTTTTAATATGTCGACCTTTGGCATAGCCTCACTTTGTTCAAGTCGATCTGTAGATAAAACGATTAAGTTTACTTACGACGAGGAGCATTACGTAAAATATTCAATTCAGATAATTCACCAGGTCCCATTTCCACACACCAGCTTCCTCAATTATTTAGAATAGACTTTTGTTCCTTTTTTGGTTATTACTTCTAATCTCCTCAAAACCTGTTAAAAACAGAATGTTGTAAAAGATTGCCTATTTAAACAATAATAACAAATATTGCAAGTAATAAAACTATTGGAAGATTTAGGTATAGTATTTTTAAATAGTATGCACACACACACACACACCTACATCAGAATTTAAAAAAATATATATTTAAATTCATAAAAATGTCCTCCTCTAATAAAATTATAAATACAAATTGAATGACGTTACTGTTAATAAATCTTTCTAAAAAATTATAAAATTTAACTAACTTAATTTATGCACACATACCTACACCAGAATTTCAAAAAAATATAAATTTAAATTCATAAAAATGTCTCCTCTAATAAAATTATAAATACAAATTGAATGACGCTTTACTATTAATAAATCTTTCTAAAAAATTATAAAATCTAACTAATTTAACTAAAAAACTTTACTCGAAAGGCGCTTTTATCTAAGATTTTGAGGTTAAGTTACACATCGGCTTAATAATTCTTTATTGATATTTATTTTATGTGCATGGCAATTATCAAATATTAATTAGACGCTCTACACTATTTGGCAATGATATTAAGATATCCAAGTTACACATACGATTAAAGAAAATCTTATAATTCAATAACTCTTCACATTGCAAGATTACACGCAACACCATCCGGTGACCAGTGAGACCAGTCCAGTCCAGTCCAGTACTGCCATCGCAGCGGCGATTATGCGCAATACATGATACAAAAAACAGCTTCGTAAGCATCTCCGTTGGTATTATCATGCTTGATATCATGGTCTTATTGAATTTATACTTTTTATATGTTTTATCGTGACATTTATGTTTTTTAAATATATTTTTTGGATTTTTAAAACATGGAAAATAAAATCCAAAAATCTCAGGAAGACACATAAATACAGTTTCGTACTTTCATCTTTAGCGAACATCAATTTTGCTATCATTATAATTATAATTATACTAACAAAAACTTAAATTTATAAAAATCGTTAAGATATAATAGAAAATATAATAAGATAAAATAAAAAATAATAAGGAAGGGGAGGGTCGAAAATAGTGACAGCGGGCAAATAGTATTACTTTAAATTTTTCTTTTCCGCGTCTATTTTACTACTACTCGTTAATAGAAACAATTCTCAAGCATCTATAATCATCTCTTCTGAAAAAACCATAAAAATTAAATGCCAAATATAACTAACGGAGAAATTTAAAATTTTCCATTCGTAAAAATAAGGAAAATCTGGATCTTTTTTTGATATTTGAAATTATATTTTCTTAATTGCTAAATCATTGAATAAGATCTAATCTATTTTATGTTATATGGTAACCTTTTTCCTCTTTTTTGATATAATTCCTATACTTGTATATTAATTTTATTTCTCTCAGTAAAGTTTTAAACGAAAAAGTAGCTCCTGATGGGGCAAATAATGACAATTTTTAGTTGAGTAAATAATGACAAGTCAAAAAGCTTTTTTAATATTTGAATATGATT